AGAAGTGAACAAGTCAGGCCTGAGACATCTGGTCATGCCAGATGGCAAGGAACATTAGATCAACTGGAAGGACTTGGTAACTAACCAGGGGTCAAAAACTAAGTGGTTGACATGGCAACAAAAGCAACACCTATAGTGCCCGGGATGGTGATGCCTTTAATCCCAGCACTTGAGAGAGGGGCAGCAGATCTGTATGAGTTTGCCACCAGCAAATTTATATATCTTAAAGTTAAGCTGTTTCAAATGTCGATGTATCAAATGTATCAATCTATTTGATGTATCAGGCCTATTTAAATACACTGAGTCTTAAATGTATCAAATCCATTCACCTTGTTCTTTTATACCCACATCAAACATTAAAAGATGTTAATGGCAGCTAGAGTTCGAATAAAACAGTACACTTGTGTAAAAAAAATCAAACACAACCGACCAACCACCCACAAAACAGTTTATAAATGAGAGAATGAAGCACTCCTGCTTTTTATTTTGAGATGGCGACTCTCTGTGTCTCATCCTCCTCAGTGGTGAGGTCACGGGTGTGCAGCGCACCATGTGTCCCCAGTGGTGCTCTTCACCTTCATTTTGTCATTTAAAGATTACTTATTATTAACATGACTTGCTATTAATACACACATTAATGTGTATGTGTTCGATGTGTGGGCATATGTGTGATATCAAAGGACAACTCAGTGTCTCCTTGCTCCCTTGGGTAGGCCCCAGGGAATGAACTTGGGTCATCTGGTTTGAACAGCAGCCGCCTTAACCACTGAGCCATCTTACCCGCCCCCCTCCCCATCTCCTGCTTTTCTGAGCAAGTTGTCTCTCACAGAAGTGTTGGGTGACCTGTGAAGAAGAAGCATTTGCCTCTGTTGTGAATTTGGTCTAACATTTATGTCTTTGGGTTCCCAAAATTGCATGAGAATCTGTATGTAAGATGCTGAGGGTCCCTGCCCCCAGTTGGTTCTGATTGGTAAATAAAGTTGCCAGCCGTCAATGGTTGGGCAGGGAGACTGAGGTGGGATTTTAGGATTCGGGGGCAAGGGGACCAAGGAGAAAGGAGAATCGCCATGCCAAGAAAAGAATAAAATTCAGGCTTGAGAGCTGCAGAAAAGAGAGTGTACCAATCATGTAAGAGCCCGGAAAGGGTGGCCTCAGGCCCCTCCTCCCTTAGGTCTATGGTAGTAGCAAAAATGGACTATAGATTTTAGTAAGTAATAACTCAGGAGTATCAGAGGGGAGGCATTAGCAATGTGGAAGTTTGGGAGTGGCCCAGCCATTGAGCAGTTTAAGGAATATTAAAATAGAAGGCTCTCTCTCTCTCTCTCTCAATCTCTCTCTCTCTCTCTCTCTCTCT